CAGAAAATAACCCCTTTTGCTCTGCAGCTTTCCCTTGCTGCGCTAATCACCAATTTCTGAAAATATATCTTCAGAATTGTTTTATTGTGACAGGTCAGCAGATAAAAGTGTGATACCAGGGGGTAAATCGTACCTTATTAACCAGCATTCTCTCTCCTGCCTAAGCGATATCCCACTGGAGTGTTGGATCATTGCTGGTGTCAAGCTTGAAAATATTACAGGACAATTAAGTCCAGTGCTTTGCTGCATTAGGCAAGGCCCTCGCCTTATATTCCCATTTTTATGCCCCTCTCCTTCTTCTCTGTCTCTGCTAATTTATGTGATAATTACCCACTGCAGTTGAGTGACCAAAATCTTTAATGATAAAGTTCTAGGAATCAAAGCACTGTGGTGAAGCCAGGCTATTAGTGCCTCTGTGTGTCTTTAAAAGATGGAGAGAACACTTTACCCCCTAGAATCTCATTTTTGTCATTGTCACCCCTGCAGATATGTAGCATAAAGTGTGGGCGATACACATCTCGCATCCGAAGTAGTGAACTTGAGGCCGAGTGTATTATCTTGGAAAGAGTAGGCTGGCTCATTTGGGTATTTTACTTACGGCTTTTAATCCTAAAACATATTTGTATCTACCTTCAACTTCAAGAAGCTCAGAGTGACAAGTATGCAGTTTTTTTCAATTTATTATTGCAACTACTGTGTGAGTTATGTTAGGCAGAAGGAGTAGCCATGTTACCTGGTAACTTTTTTGCAGGGCAAGGAGCAGAGTTCAGGTCTCCCCTGTGTAGGGATAAGAAAGTGAGAAGAGTCAAATGGATCCGGCCGATAGCCCATCAAGTCCAGCATCCCATCGGTGGTCAACAAGTTGCCTTTCGGAAACCCACAAGTGGAACCCAAGTGCAAGAGCACTTTCCTCTCCTTCGGTTTCCAGCAACTGCCTTTGACCATGGAGGTAGAGCATAGCCATCATGGCTATTAGCCACTGCTAGTCTTATCCTCCATTAATTTATTCGGTCTTCTTGGAAGTCATCTAAGTTGGTGGCTATCATTGACTCCTGTGGGAGTGAGTTCCAAAGTTTATCAGCACTGTGTGAAGAATGACTTCCTTTTATCTGTCCTGAATCTTGCAGCATTCAGCTTTGTTAGATTTTCATCAGTTCTTTTGTTACGGGAGAGAGAGAGAAACTTTTCTCTGTCCGCTCTCTGCATGCCATGCATAATTATATAAACTTCTTTCATATGACGTCTTACTTGCTTTTTTTCTAAACTAAAAAGTCGCGGATGTTGCCGTCTTTCATCATAGGGAATTGTACCATGGGGGAGATAAGAACATAAGAAGAGTACTGGTGGATCAAGTTAATGACCCTTCTAGTCCAGCATCTTCTTCTCACAGTGGACAACCAGGTGCCCATGGGAAGCCTACAAACAAGACATGAGTGGAACAGTTCTCTGCCCTCTTGTGATTCTTGGCAACTAGGATTCAGAGGCATACTGTCTCCAAAAGTGGATGTAGAACATAGCCTTATCCTCCATCCTGTTAAAGGGCACCTTTAAAGGAGGTCACTGTAACCATGCATGAGCTGATGGCCAATCCATTTTAATAACATTAGAAAAGCCTGTTAGATCAGGCCAGTAGCCTATCTAGGCCAGCATGCTGTTCTCACAGTGGCCAATCAGATGCCTCTGGGAAGCCCAGCTAAGTGCAACACAACAGCATGTCGGGCCTAGCAGAGCTTCTCAAAGCAAATCAATCAATCAATCAATCAATCAATCAATCAAACAAACAAACAACAGAATCATAACACCCTTCAATAAACATAACTCCAGCCAAGGATTGCACCCTAAAGCTACGATCCCATACTCACTTGCCCAGGAATAAGTGAAATTAAGCTAAAAGTTGCTTAGTTCTGGGTAGAAATCTCTAGAATTGCACAGAAAAAAAATGTATGACACAGCTTTTATGAAGAGGTTGATTGTTTGAGGTGGCTTACAAAACCACAGTGTGGAGAGGTGGGATAAATAAATATTTTCAACAAGCAGGTAGGGCATTGCAAAAAGCATAATCAGTGGTGTTATTCATGCCAGAGATTCATTACATAACTGGAAGGAATAAATATATATTTGCTACATCCCCGTTCATTTTTCTGGGTCCTTTTAAATAGTTCAGCGACACCTTTTTTCATACCATTCTGAAATATATTGTTTGCAAAAGGTGATTTCCCTTGATGAACTTAAAAGCAGCTGATTTATCACTTTGTGTTAAGTATGCAATAAAGGTTTGAATGTGAATGCCTGTGTTTAACAATAACCAGTCATAATCTTGGCCCTGTTTTGGGAGAAAGAGTGCGGTCAATTATTTTCTCCAGCTATGTAGTGATTTCTCCTGAGTACACGCATGGTTTATAATAATAGGCTATTATTGAAATGCAGTTTTATGGCACATTTAGTATAAAGAACAATGCATATGTTTATCTCAGAGACAAGTGGTAAATCATGTTACTGAGGAAGCATGGTAAGGAGCCAAAGCTCTCTGATATAACACATGCTTTGAATGCAGAAAGTCCCAGGTTCAATTTGTGGCATATCCAGTCACAAGAGAAAACCCAGCAAGGCTAGGATGGATCTCAGATTCACATTTTAATGCAAACCTACCAATTGGCATTTCCTGAAACAACACTGAAACTGCAATGCAGCTATCCTTTGAGATTCACACTTTTCTGAATCTTGCAATGCAGTTCTCCAACAAAATAACACAAATAAAAACATGTATTATTGGGGGGGGGAGTGTGTATAGCAATGCAAAAATTAATTAGTGAAGATAACTTACAAAAATGCATTATATTGAAAAATATCGGACACAAAAGTATATATAAGAAAAAAATTCTTATTGGTGTATTTTCATGAGGATTGTAAAGGAGGAGGAGCGGACAGTCTAGAGCAGCCTTTCTCAACCTGTGGGTCCCCAGATGTTGTTGAACTACAACTCCCATCACCCCTAGCTAGTGAGGTCAGAGCTCAGGGATGATGGGAGTTGTAGTCCAACAACATCTCGGGACCCACAGGTTGAGAACCGCTGGTCTAGAGAGTGAGTCCTTTTCTTGTAGCAGTCTACTGCTGAGTCCTACTTGCAGAAAGCACAACTGTGAAGGCGGATGGAGGAGGGTGGTGTCAGAAGTGGAAGCAGGATTAGGGCAGACCAACAGTCAAAGCAAGAGAAAGAGTGAAAGTGAGTGAGTCTCTATGGGAGTGCCCAAAATACCTGTCCCACCCCCATCCCTGCTTACCAGGAGTGGTGTTTTCAGCCCAGTGTGGCAGGGAGGGATGGCGGGAACTTACAATGATTCCCAGCTTCTATGCACTGGGCAGACTGGTTTCCTGCTTCTCATATATGTGCTTGGTTCAGGAAAAGCCCACAGGAACTCAGGAGCCAATCAGTACCAAGCTGGGCTCCCAGAGGACAGGGGTTTGAAGTGGACCTAAGTGAAGACTTCACCCATCCTGGTCCGGTTCTAGGAGTATAAAGGGATAGAGGAAAGGGTTCTCTCCCTCTTACGTAACACTATAACTGATGGACATCCAATGAAACTGAGTGTTCATCCAGGACAGAAAAAAAGAAAGAAAGCACTTCTTCAGACAACACATAGTTAAAAACTGGAATATGCTCCCACAGGAGGCAGTGATGTCCACCATCTTGGGTGGCTTTAAAAATGTTCTGGGCAAATTCATGGAGGAGGACATGGCTATAAGCTATGATGGCTCTGCTCTGTCTCTACGGTTGAAGGCAGTAATACTTCTGAATACCTGTTGCTGAAAACCACAGGAGGGGAGAGTGCTCTTGTGCTCAGGTCAGGTTTGCCAGTTTGCCAACATGATGACAGGATTCTGGACTAGGTGGGCACTTCTCATGTTCTTAATTTGTTAGTCATTGAAGTCTAAATTGATTCTGAGCATGTGTTACTCATTGGAATCGGGCAGTTGTTTTGACTTTTCATGACTGTCCTTCTAAAGATGACTCAAGGAGTTCTGTGATCTGTTCCTATTCCCCTTGGGCAGCAGAACCTCAGCAGGTCGATCCTTAGCTAAAGGTTGTACTGGCTTTCCGAGAACTCCTGTTGTAAACTCTTAAGAAGGACTTTTTAAAATCGCAAACTGATGCCAAAATGTGGAGAACTGAACTTAAGATTGGGGGGGGGGTGTGAGAACCTGAGAAAAACAAAATTGACAGGTTTATCCATCCTCAGTTATCAGTCAGGGTAGACAATACTAAGTTGGATGGATCAATAGTCTGAGTCAGTATCTTTCTATGCAAGGCTGTGGATCTCCAGCAAACAAATAACTTTTTTTATTCAACATTAAGAGCTGCCAGCTTTTTTCAGCTGACCCTTATGGTGTCATCTGGCAATTGCTGAGTCCCAAAGCACTCTGTCAGGCCTCACCATCAACACCTATCTTTGCTCTGCTTTACTTTTGCCCCACCCACCCACCCATCCTGTGCTCCAATTAGCACCTGGATGTGGGAGTCACCTTCTTCTTTTCCCCAGTTAGCTTTCTGCCAGAGAATTGTTGGGAATTATGGGAGTGACATTGGACTTTTGGTATGATTAAGTTTAGCAGCTGGCATTAGCTGAAAGACGCACTTGTAAGTTAAAAGTTTCAAGAAGTCAATTGGAAAGAGACTATTTTATCAGCAAATCATATAGATTTTTACCTATGTTAATGAAAAGAAACACTATGTGCTGCACTCCTTCCCACTGTGTTAAAATATGGAATGCATGATTTGCTTCTGATATTTGGTTTAATACAGGATATTAGTTAAACTAAATCTATTTTAGATTGTTGTTTTCACTGAAAAACATCACTGCTCTGTAACCTTCGATTGTAGGTTTAACTGATTAATGTGATTTAGTGTATTTCAGAGTTTTTACATATTTAGTATACTTTTTTTCATTTTAAATAATCGTGGAGTAGAGGACATATCCACTTTGACTAATTCCCTCTCTTTTCCTAGGTAGGACATTATTTCTTTATATTTTTATTTCTATATAATTTTCATCTTTGTTATCTCCAAGTAAAAATTTAAATAAAATTATGTGTGTGCGCGCGCGCACACACACACACACACACACACACAGAAGAAGAAGAAGAAGAGTTTGGATTTGATATGCCGCCTTTCACTCCCTTTAAGGATTCTCAAAGCGGCTAACGTTCTCCTTTCCCTTCCTCCCCCACAACAAACACTCTGTGAGGTGAGTGGGGCTGAGAGACTTCAAAGAAGTGTGAGTGGCCCAAGGTCACCCAGCAGCTGCATGTGGAGGAGCGGGGAAGCGAACCCAGTTCACCAGATTACGAGACTACTGCTCTTAACCACTACACCACAGAGAGAGAGAGGCTCTCAGCTTTTGGATTGTTATCAGGCCTCTGCTGTTGCTACTGCTCCTTAAAATCTCACACAGTGTTACCAATGTAGGAAAGACTCCACTGTACACGTGAAGCTGGTCTTTGCTGCACTTTCCTGTCATGCCATGTATTGGGATAGAAGGATCTGCCTATTTCGTTTTTCAAATCTTAAATTCAGTTTTACTCATTTTGCAGCCATTTTCTTTTTTCTTTTTTATTAAAAAATGCTGATGAAAATATTCCTAATACATACATTTTTGCCTAATATACATTTTGCATTTTCTCCTAAGCAACACCTTTTTACAAGCTGTTTTGAGGGAGATATACATTTTTGCAAGCAGTCTCCCCTAATATAATGCATTCTGTATATTATTTTCACCAATACTTTCAATACTTTAGGCACATTCGCCGTAATATATCCAGTTGGGGAACTGCATTAAAAAATCAGATAAATGCCATTTTGAAGGATGTTTTGGTCCCTATATTGTTTCAGAAAGTGTGTATTTGATAGATCTAGCTTTTAGTGGCCCTAAACCAGTGGTGGGAGGGCCTGTGGTCCTCCGTATGTTGCAGTCCAGCTCCTATCTGCCTTAGGTGTGGGGAATTATAATCTAACAACATCTGGAGGACCACTGGTTCCCCATCCTTGACCTTGACCTGAACTATTAAAAACACACACATATCGTGAGTGAGTTCTACTAATGCCTTTCTATCAAATATAGAAGTGGGGAGTGGGGACAATAAAACAGCATTGCTTTGGCAGGGATCATCAGGTGTGGAGGGGAAGAAGAGAAACATATGCTATTACCCAAGCGATGCGATTCCTGCAGTTCAAAACAATCATCAAAATAACCAGCTTTTAACAAGCTGGACCAGAATAGCCTGAACATTTTCAAGATCTGAGACTTCAATGTCACATTCTAGGATTTTGAAGCTGGCTCTGAAAACTGGAAGCACATTTATCAGGGCAACCCTACACAATCTGCTTAAAAATGTATCCTGCTGTGTTCTATCAAACTTGATTCCGCTCAAGAGGATCCTCTTGATCTGCTTACAGCTCAATACCCTTGGCATTTCTTCCCCTCATACCCATAAACACAGTGGGAGCTGGTCCATTTGGTCCAATGTGGTGTAGAAGAAGAAGAGTTTGGATTTGATATCCCGCTTTATCACAAAGGAGTCTCAAAGCGGCTAACATTCTCCTTTCCCTTCCTCCCCCACAACAAACACTCTGTGAGGTGAGTGGGGCTGAGAGACTTCAAAGAAGTGTGAGTGGCCCAAGGTCACCCAGCAGCTGCATGTGGAGGAGCAGGGAAGCCAACCTGGTTCACCAGATTACGAGTCTACTGCTCTTAACCACTACACCACACTGGCTGTCCAGTGTAGAGAGTGTTGGACTAGGACCTGGGAGACCATAGCTTAAGTCCCTAAGCTTACTGGGCGACTTCTTCTAGCCTAACATATACCCTACAGGATGGTTTTAGGGATTAACTGAGGAGGGGGAGAACCATGTGTGCCACCTTTGGGGGGAAAGGCAGCAAGCAAGCAAGCAAGCAAGCAAACAAACAAACAAACAAAGCAAAGGCCCACAACCTGTCCTCTCTCAGGCCAAGCCTCCACTTGCCTGCCTTCTGACTCATAACCAGTCAGCAGGTGGCTCCGCCTGTCATTGGCTCTGGCTCCACCTGCTGTTGACATTTTTACCTTCTGACCTACCACTCCCAGTGGGCACCAGCCACCATTGCCTAAGCATATGTTTCCTGCAACAATTTTTCTAAAAGACACTGATTTAATTTATAGTGGTGCTTTAGGAGAAGGAAATAACATGACTTTCTGGCTGTTTGTTATGCATCGCATACAGAAGGGAGGCAGGCAATATTTGAAGTGAAAAAAGCAAAGTGGGGGGGGGAAACCCCTACAGATTAGCTTCAAAGAGTCTCTTTTGATTGACGGATGTCCTTCCTAAGTCCTCAGCTGTTGTCCTCAATTTCTCTGTCTCTCCCAATCTTTCCCCCCCTCCTCTCCCACCTCTTGATTAACTGCTTTTGGAGTCTAGGAAAGATAGGATGTCAGGAAGAAGATGAGGAAAACAATTGTTTGGTGTATCCACTGATGATTATATGAACACAAACACACACAAAGAGAGTGGTCTTGATCAACACACACCCACACTATACATTTAATTTGCAGCACTCCCCCCCCCCAAAGAATCCTAGGAATGGAATCTCTGTAAGGGTAAGCCATAACCATTGAAGTGATATAAATGTGCTTTAAATGTATTGTGTCAGTGTGATCCTTAAGCTGCAAATTCTATGTACACTTTCCTGGGAGAAAGTTCCCTTGAACTCAGTGAGTAAACATATGCATAGGGTTGCACTTTTATGATTGCAAACTTGAAGACAGGGGGAAAGTTTACTTATTTTAAGTCCCTTTCTGCAATGCAAGGATTGAGATCCCTTGTGGAGCTGCTGACTGCCCTCCCTTGGAGTATTTTAAGAAAAGTCTCCATAGGCACCTGTCAGGAATGATTTAGCTAAAGGGTATACAGCCTAAGGGCAGAAAGTCCTACTAAATGACCTGCGAGGTCAATGCCAGTTTTGATTTTTTGATTTTTACTTCATGAGTCTATGATTCTTGCAACCTGATTTGAGAAAATTGCTGCACCAGAGAAGTGTTTTGACTGCTGTCCCAGGACAGATGTTACACTAGGGCTTCATGGGATGAGATGATTGAATCCTGGTTTACCTAGAAGGAATTTCCAAAATCAATTCTGTAATTGGTGGATTGGAAGTTTGCAAAACAAACAACTTCCAGTTCCTTCACAACCCCCCTCCCTCATTAATTCACACATACACACAGTGTGTGGATAAACCATTGCAAACAAGCAAAATTTCTGTGATATATATTGTGCATGCATTCTCATCTAATTTGCTGTTTGGGCAGTGGGGTGATTTACCTATGAATAAAAGGGAAAGCACACATACATAACATCAATTAAAAGATCAATGCAATAATGCATAGAACAAATATGGAAAGATTTCTGCACAGATATTCATTGGTAATGTACAGGGGAGAGAGACATGGTGGGAAACAAACAATTCATGCCCAGTGTTCCATGCAAAATATGAAAAATTAAAAACAAGAGCAGTAAAATAAAAAATATATGTAACTGGTGTACAAAAAACTGAAGCAACAACAGACAGTTTAAAGTCTCACAGTGAGAAGACATCCTGGAAATGGCAGGCATCTCTCTAGTTCCTAACGCTAGACTTACTTTTTAAGGGCAGGGCCAAGGTGGATGGTACTACCTTAGGTTGCCCACAGCCCTGCCCCATTCAGCTTCACTCTCCACCCCCAGTTCCAGGTACAACTGGTTTGTTGAGTTTCCCAGGGAGTCTAGAGGAAGGGGGAAAGGACCCCCCACTCCACTCACAGCTTTCTCTGAATGTGCAAAAAACCCACCCCCAGTTAAGTGTGGGTGAAAAAAATCACGTCCATACACGGTGCAGATAAATTCAGCCAGAAGTGTGCAACATTCACAAGTTTGCAAGTGCATGCATCATGCTGGTAAATTCATCCAGGAGTGGTGATAGATTAGAGCTCTCTGCTGAGTGCCTCCTTGGAGGGAAAGCTCAGGTTTCCTCCTCTGAAATACATGAAACAGTCATAAAATCGAGGTGTAAAATAGTGGAGAAATGTTAGCATGTGTAAGACATTCTATACCTTAATATTTTCTCCTTTCCACATAAAGTGGGTTTTTTGTGGGGGGTGGTTCTTTGTTTTCCTTTTCATGTAAGTTCACAAAATTCACTAAAGACACTTTGATTTATAAAGATTTAAACTTTTTTTTTTCAAGGCACAGGGCTGCATTAGGGTCTTGTCACAATATCTGAAACTTATTTTGCTGAACTAAGAATTAATTTCCCAGCCAGCACAGGCACACACACCCCGCTTGAAAAAACCCCTCTGTCTCTTTGCTTAACTTGCATTCTGTGATAGTCTAATAATTTCATAGTCTGAGCTCTCTGTAATATAACCTCTTCAGAAGAAGGCATAAATCAGAACTGTGCAGGTATTAAGTCACAGGGCTTTCTATATCCTTCTCACAATTATCTTCAAATCCAGCAGTGGATTTTTCATAAGCACTTATTTGCCATCTCTTGCCAGAGGGTTTCAAGCAGTTTGTCAGATGCATTTCATTAAATCCCACATAATTAAGCCTCAATTAAGCCTTTCTGAGGTGGCTGCTGTAATTATGCTTATCAGGCCCCGATGAAAGGACACAAGGCCGCTGGGCTGATCCATATTCCAAGGCTTCACTTGCCTGCGCTATAAACTAGGTTTTCTGTGCTACAATAATTCATGCATAAAGGTGAATATGTTTCTTCCCTAAATCTCAGCAATCCCATTCTGGGCCCTAAAAACTTCTGCTGTAAGAATGCTGTGGATCTCACACTGGCCTATCTACAAGCACAACTGTTAACCCTCCAACTCAGTGTAGAATATAAGGGTGGGTGAATCCATCAGTCTTGGTGTCTCCATATTTCTGCATCAGACTGTGATTTTATTTTATTTTATTAAACAGTCCTCATGAAAATTCACCAGCATTTTAGTGCAAATTTATCCTACTATAAACATTTTATATGCATTTTTGCCCCATATGCTAGCAATTGTCTCTAATATAATGGATTTTTATGTTATTTTCACCAATATATGCATTTTTATGCACACTTCCCCTTAATTCATGCATTTTTGTACACATTATTTGGTGACGGGATTGCATTACAACATTTGGAGAATACACAAGATTCTACCCATTCTGCATCAGATGTCCTGGCTTGCTGCATGCTTCTGCCCCCAGATAAAAGTTCTAGCAGTGTCCTTTAAGGCCCACAACATTTTGAGACCAAGTTAACTAAAGGGTGGTCTATGCCCATATGAACCTGTCAGGGATTTGAGAAAACCTGTCCATGTGCCCACCATGAAGGAAAGTCAACCTGACAGGTAGGAGGAACAAGACCAATTTCCATGCTGCCCGACGAGGAGCTATTGGGCTAATTACCCAAGATGATCAGCCTCCTCTTTCATAGTGTTTAGGCAGTGCACTCAAAAAGGGGACCCATTAAGAGTATCTTTCCCATGGACCCCCCCCCTTCTTAAGCCAGCAATAGTTGAGGAGACAGAGAACACTGTAAACTGCTGGCAGGCCCAAAGTGGTTGAGAAAATTGAGTGAATTAGAAGAGATACTTCAAAACATAACATGTTACAAGTTTGGGTTTTGTTATTCATTATATGTTAGCACTTCCCAAAAGTGTCCGTATAAGAGAGATGCAACATTCCTCATTGCGCTATTAGAAAATGACTTCTCCACCTTGAATTTCTTTACTTGAGTTAGATGAAGAAGTGCCTGTTTTGACTTTTTTATTTGTCTGACTGATTTACACCACCCCCACATACATATCAGCCCTCTGTTACTTAACCAGCCCCTTTCCGCTCTTACTGTGTGCTGCTGAGTATTTAATATGTCTATTTAAATGCAAATTTTGACTTTTGGTCTGTAATCGTATGAAATGTTTGGCACTAAAAATTTTAATCAGAAATGTAATTTTTATATCGGCGTGGTAATGGAGTGTTAGGCCACAGATAATAGAAAGATGCATCGGTGACCTGATTTTTCAGTGAAGGGACACATCACATCAAATATCTGCTGGGACACAAAATCACTTTCTTGAATGCAAGAACCATCTTCTAATAAATCTCCTGCTAATCTTTGGGATGGTTCAACCTCTTGATGAGGCATCGCATGTCTAGAATCTCCTCTCAGCTCATATCTTTCCTGTTCTGTCCCTGTGCTTGAGTCTGCAGATAGGGATGTCAGAGAATTCCATAAGAAATTAGAGTGGAAATTGCCAGAGTTTGCATGTACATCAGAGGTCAGGAATGGAAATCACAAAGGTGAATATGAGTGGCCCTGTTTTTGTTTTGTTTTTTATAGTCCCCAGATGTTATGTAAATAATTACATTATTTTCAGCATTGTTTTTGATTCTTTGCTTCCTTTAAAATTGATTAAATAATTATTTGCGTTTGTTTCTGATGAACTGAAGAATCTTAATGCTGTGGTAAACAGGCCATGCACTGTGTTGGGGGCGGGGAGTACTAATGCATTGATTTCATTGGAAGCAGGAATAAATAATCCAGAAATCAAACATCAGAGGTGGGGGTGGAGAGATACTCAGATGAGAATTTCTGTAGCATCCCCGCTTCCTTTAACCATTCCAATTGTACTGTAATCACAATAGGATGATTAAGGGATGTTAAAGCATATCTGATCTGCATGAAGTGATCTTGCATATGTAACTTACATCGACTGTCTCTGGAATATCTTAACTGGCAGTCAGTGTAGACAACACACAGCTAGATGGACCAGTGGTCTTACATAGTGGTATAATGCAGCTTCCTATGTTTCCTTCCTATTATAACAACAATACAAGCACAATCTTGTAGAAGAGAGCTTTGCTAGCATTTATTTAGTAACCCCCAGTTAGTGGATTGCTCTCTTCAGGTTAGCTCATCTGGTGCTGGCTTGGCATCTTTCTGACAACAGGCAAAACCCCTTACTTCTCTGGGGCATTTGGACAAAAAAATGCTCAGAGTTCTTGGTGTTCATCCAGTGTAGATGAGGTGGGTATTCTGCATTTTAGGTGAGTTCCCTCCCTCCTTCTGTATGAACATAGGGACATAGGAAACTGGCTTAACCTGAGTCAGGCCCAGTGATCCATCTAGGGCATTTTCTACTACACGTTTCAGACTTCCAGACAGTAGTCGTATCCTAACCCTACCTTGAGATGGAAGGGTTTGAACCTGGGACCTGCATGCAAGGCAGATTCTGAGTTACAGCCCTTCCCATTGTGTTTTATCATTGTATTATTGTATTGTGTTTTGATTATGTTAAAACACTTCAGGATGCTCTTGGATGTGTGAAGTGATATATAAATGCAACAAACTAAACTGTGTCGAAAGTTGTAGAACGCAACAACACATGTTGCATTACGACCCTGGCCATCGGATCAGCACCTTAGCTGCTCTTCTTAACTAGACCTATTTATAGCAGATCTTTTCTTGCCCAAGACACTACTTCCTTTCAGTAATGACGCTAATGTTTTGTCAGGGACTTTAGTGACCAGTGGTTGGCCCTGCCAGTAGCTACTGAGTTCCATCTGCTACAGGCAGTGTCACAGCTGTCAGAATCACTTTCCTGTCGTCTTGATCTGATTGATTAGAGTACTGTTTGGTGGCCAGGGGTCTTGTTGAAACAGCACCCAGAGCAACAGATGTGCCAGCCATCGTCCAGGTGCAGTATTACGGGAATGGCCCACAGCTACCAATGCATATGGTATCAGCAAGAGCATATGATATACTTAAACTCTTTAACGTGACCAATTTTTCCCCTTTGTTGGTTGAGGAGCAGCTCAAGCAGTTTTATGCGAGGTAAAGAGACCATGGCAGGGAGACGGCAGTTAGTCACCCACATGTTCAGTAGCTGAAAGTCACAGGAGGCATTCCTGTATCTTGCAGCTTTCAGAGACCTTGAAAACTCTGATATTTGCTAAAAGTTTGTTCCAAGAGTATTCTTGAAGCAATTCCAGAATGGGGGCCTCATCAGTGGCATCCAGGTGAAAATTAGTCTCACTTGTGTCCATCCACACTCATCCAGGTCCCTTCAGTTCTGGCCTGCATAGCTTGTATCTTAAGATGTGTGTGAGGGGGTTGTATCTAGAGCAGGCTTCCTCAACCTTGGCCCTCCAGATGTTTTTTGGCCTACAACTCCCATGATCCCTAGCTAGCAGGACCAATGGTCATGGATGATGGGAATTGTAGTCTCAAAACATCTGGAGAGCCGAGGTTGAGGAAGCCTGATCTAAAATAGTCCTACTCAGAACTGACCCATTGACGTTAGTGGGCATGACTGACTTCAGTATATTAATTTCATTGGGTCTATTCTGAGTGGAACTGAGTTGGATACAACTTACTGTTTTTTAAATATCTCTCTCTTAAATATTTCACATGTTCAAACCATTGGTTGTGCTTTGATCTGTTCATTTGCTTGTTGTTTTTGCATGCTTTAATTTTTGTCAGCCACCTTGAAATAGATGATAAAGGACAGTATATAAATGGTTTTTAAAAAATGAATAAATAAAATAGGCAAGGGGAATGCCTCACTCGTTGATCAAAATGGCCCTCCAGTAAGTCATTGCTGACCACATGATTCATTTCAATGCAGCTATTGGCTCTTGAAATGTCTCTGTGTTTGCTTTGTGAGTTTGTTTATATGGAGCTGTACAAGTATATGTACATATGTATGCATCACATTCTATGGATCCTTCATCATCTAATTTCCTTCATCCAGTGTCAAGGACTAACAGGGCAGTGAGGAACAGGTGGCAGAGGCTGCGGGCCCAGAGGCTGACCCAGGGGAAGCAGGCATAAATTTATGGGGTTTTGTTCCTCCCAAGATGTAGGAGCCAGAGCTGGAGGGAGGTGAAGAGTCTGAGCAGGAGGAGGTGTGGGGAGGGGGTGCTGGACATGGAGAAGGAACTGGAGGAAGGGCAGGACATGCCAGGATGGTGCATGGAAGAGGGGAGGTAGACTGCCCTTCGTCCATCTTCCGCTTCCCACAGGAACAGGGGGCATGGGTGGCTTGAAGAGACTGGCACAGTGGCAGCTTTCATGTAGGAGAAATTGTAGGTTGCTTGCATACACACTGTCAAATGAAAGTACTTAAGTTTGGGTAGAGGTGTGGTTAGACTGTTGCTCCAACAGTCTAGCTCAGAGCACAAGCCTGAGGAGACAATTCCAGCTACTTATTTGCTCGAAACATCTGTGCATGTGCTGTGCACCTTAGGAGCTACTATACTGTAAGTGTATGCTTGTCAATAAACAAACTACCAGCCGTTTGTCCTCCTTGGGCTATGTATGCTCAGGACATCCAGTTGTTTTGAAAGATGGTTAGTGAATTGAGGCTGTCTGGTGATAATCCAAAGAGAGAGGCGTGTCCGATACAGCCATTTGGTGCAACTTCAAGAATTCAAGTCAGCTGTCAGAGCACCACAGTATGATGTTTAATGTTTTTTTAAGAGCAAAAGCCTAGTGCAGGCAGCAGCCCATATTTTAAAGTCAAATTGACATGCTAGAGGCATCACTTAGTATTGTACACCCATTTCTTTTGTTACACTATAATCTCTTGGGCAAATGTGGTTTCCAAAGCAGTCTAAAACAAAAATGACTGGACAACAGTAGGATGAGCAAGAACTATGTAGCCAAGAATGCCTCTGTTGTGCCACATCTGCAAGACCAAAATCACTTCAGAACAAAAAGCCCTATTGTCTGCTCCCAGTGCTAGTGTATAAACCACAAAAGTCTCACACACTGTGGTAATTACTTCAAACATTATGGCTCCTCTGCTCTATCTATCTATCTCATCTATCATCTTTGTGCTTTGCATAGAACTTAGCTATGGGGTGGGGCAGAAATTTGTGGAGCTCAGAAAGCTGGGCTGAAGAATAGGACTCACATTGTAAGTGGTTGGATCTAGTTACTCAAAGGATGCGTGTGTATGTGTGTGCCCCTCTCAACAAAAGAAAATTAGTTGCAGCTTGTGTTCGTTTTCTTGTTCTGAGAGGAAGGAAGTGTAGGAAGCTGCTTTATACTGAGTCAGATTGGTCTATTTAGCTCAATATTGCTGACACCAACTGGCAGCAGCTTTTGCGAGTTTCAGGTGGGGGGCACCTTACCTGGAGATGCCAGGGACCTTTTGTATGCAAGACAGATGCGCTGCCACTGAACTGCAACCCTTTTCTGACTTTGAAACTGCTTGATTTGGCTAGTTTTATGTCCACTTATTATTTGCTTAATGTTATCAAAATCTTATTTTATTTTTTTTAGAAAGGAAAACATTTCCCCAGAGAAATAGAGAAAGAAAGTTATTCCCCATATCCTTGGCAGGAAGGAATTTTATTCAGAAAGTCTATTTATGATTCCTGTAGCTCTTTGAAAACTTTGCAGTACTAATTTGTGGCACCAGTTTCT